AGATGTTAGCTCAGAGCTGGTCTTCCTCAGCAAAAAGAGGAGGACTGGCATGGATGTTAGCTCAGGGCTGATCTTCCTCACACACAAAAAAATAAAAACAAATAGAAACGTGGGGGGCCGGCCCCGTTGCATAGCGGTTAAGTGTGTGTGCTCCGCTGCTGGCAGCCCGGGTTCGGATCCCCGGCGCACACCGATGCACTGCTTGTCAGGCCATGCTGTGGTCGCGTCCCATATAAAGTGGAGGAAGATGGGCACAGATGTTAGCCCAGGGCCAGTCTTCCTCAGCAAAAAGAGGAGAATTGGCATGGATGTTAGCTCAGGGCTGATCTTCCTCACAAAAAACAAAACAAAAAAAAAATGTGGGTTCTACTCCTGGTTTTGCTGGTAGCTCTAGCAAAAAACACAATCTCTTAATCCAGGGATGAACCAAGTTTTTCTGTGAAGGGTCAGACAGTAAAGATTTTTGGCTTTGTAGGCCATATGGTCTCTGTCACAACTACTCAACTCAGCCATAGTAATACTGGCACAGCCAGGTGAAAATGGGTGGTGGCTATGTTCCAATACAACTTCCTTTGTGGGTAATGAAATTTGAATTTTATATAATTTTCACTCCACAAAGTACTATTCTTTGGATATTTCCAACCTTTTAAAAAAATGTAAAAATGTTTAGCTTGAAAGGCAGCTTTGGCCCATGGGCCATAGTTTGCTAATCCTTGTCTTAAACCATTTGCTCAACAAACAGGTAGGACTCGTTATCTCTAAGGTCACTTCCTACTGTAATATGTCAAAATTCTATACTGATAATACTGTAAATAGGGCAGATAGGGAAAAAAAGGGAAAATAGATCTCTAATTATTTAAATGATTCAAATATTAAGTAAAAATAATCGATTGGGTATTTCAAAGAACTTTAGACTTAAAATCCAGATTATGTCAAAACCGAACTGCCTACTCCTTTCTGTGACTCCTTCCTGGATTCACCAAGTAAACATGCATCAGAGCCACTGTAACACTTTCTTGTCCCATTCCACCTTCCACTACACAGCTGTTACAACTCTGGCTGACAGGGAAGACATCTACTTCATCTCTGCATCTTCAGCATCTAGTACAATGCCCATGAGGTGATACAGGCCCAACGTTTGTTGAACAAATGTATCACACAGTTATGATTTCTAACTTGCTCTTGTAACTTTAGGTAGTCCTTCAGAAATATTCTATTCTTAACAAATCCTTACCAAGTAGCTAAACAGCAAATAAACACCAACATGCCTTAGCACATGTAGTGTCCTGGCTCTGAGGTCAGACAAAACGTGTTTGAATCTTAGCTCTGGCGGTTACTAACCCTGTCTCCCTAAGCCTCAATCCCCTTGCTCCTGAGAAATGGGGAAAATTATTGTACCTGCTTCATAAAGTAGTTTTAAGGATTCAATGAGAAAACGCATAAAAAGCAACGAGCATAGTTCCTGGCAAATACAAAGTGTTCAATAAAGAAGAGACTCCTAACTGGTCTTCCTGCTTCTACCCCTGCTCCCTTAAAAATCTGTTCTCCCCAAAGCAACCAAAATGGTCTTTAATTCAGGCTCAAACTTGAAATCCTCTCATAGTTTCCCACTGCAGAAAGAATAAAGCCTGAAATGCTTACTTCGATTTAGAAAGCTAATGATCAGTCTCCTACCCACCTCTCCATTCCCATCTCACACCATGCAGCCCTTTGCTCACTGAGCTCCAGGTAATTTCCCAAACACACCAAGCTCATTCCCACCCTAGCTGTTCGGAGCTTCCTGGCAGATAGTTTGGCTTCTTCCTATCTTTCACAAGAGCTTTAGTAGACAACACAATCAGTACCCCATTCTAACCTTATCCCCTGTAAATTTTCTCCGTGACACCTATTTATTTAGTGTTTACCGCCCCCCTCCTCCACCCACCGCGGTCAGCCTCTCGGGAGAAGAGTCCCCAGCAGCATCCGGCCGGATCGCTGAATGGACTGCTGAGAACAACCTGCAGGGCACCGTGCACCGCTGTCAATCAGCAACCAGCAACCTTAATTACCTGTGCCAGAACTCGCGGGAGGGCCACACTGTCCCCCAGCCCCGCTCTTTCCTGGCTACAGCCAAGAGCTCCAGATTCCGGGGGTTCCGGTTGGTGAACTGCGGGGCAACCGCTTCATTGTCCAGAGGGTCCCCCTCAGGCTTCAGGGCCGGCGTGGATCTGGTGGAGATCGCCGCGACCCCACACCCTGAGGATGGAAACCACCGCACGGATCTTAAGAAACGACGAGTACGGACGGCACAAGAACATGCTCTAACCTCCACCCTATCCTCTCCCCAACCCTCGCGCCCGGGAAGGAGGAGAGAAGATACGTTCGGTCACATGCTGTAGTCCTCGCAGACCCTGTCATCACAATGTGGTTAGCCCGTTTACTTTTCGGTGAGTATGCCAAATATAAAATGACTTAATGTGCATTTATTGTGCAGACGCTGGGGAGTGATCTGAGAGAACTGAAGCAAGATTCATTACCGGGGTTCCTGCAAACCGGCAACAACTCCCAGAACCGCGACCGAAGCGCCATCGCTGAGGGGATTGCGGGCAAAGTTTCGGAAAAGCCTCGCCTCCTCTCGTCACCAGGGTCCCTGAGGATCGCCGGCAGCAGCCATGTTAACTCAAGGAAGAGCCTGCGGATTGCGTAAAGTATCTGCGCCGCGACCCGGAACTAACAAGCTGAGTGGCTGAGAGGGCAATCTGTTATGCGCGCTCCTCCAATCATCGCTTACGCTGGGCACGACGACGCTGGAGCCGACCAACCAGCTCGTAGTAACGCACTTGGAGGTGGGGCACGACCGGTTAGTTTGGGCGGTGCGTCTGCCCGAATCTCGCGTCCAAGGCGCCCGTAACTGCCCGTTACTAGTGTATTTGGGCCCTCCGGTCACAAAGCTTAGACCGACCATTGTCGGGTCCACGCATACCCCAGTGGGGCACTGGGAGGAAACGGGGCAACGCAAGATGCACAGTTTCCAGAAATGGTGGCTGTCATTTTCCCGTATGGCCAGTGGAGAACCCTGGCCCGTGCCACCCAGGTTCAGGCCCCAGGCTTAGACTCGTGACTTGCCGCGCGCTGTCGAGCAAACTCCGACACTGAAGGAGAACAAGGAAGACCCTACCACACTGGACTCGCTCGGAACCTCACCTCTACCTTAGAGAAGGGCCCACCTCCTCCAGTCACACTCCAACTCCAAGCCCCGCCCTACCCACCACCTTTTCGAGAAGGCACTAGAATGTGCAAAGGCGCACGCGCAACCCGTGCTTGGGGGCGAAGCCTCAGCCCAGCACCTCCTTCCTCCAGCGGCCCAAGATCCTGACTTCCGTTCTCCTCCCTTCGCGCCCTTCTCATCGGGTCTCTAATTGGGCGAAAGTGCTGGACGCGCCCTCTTCCGGCTGCTCACTTCCTGCACACTCACCCTCTCGTCCCGCCCCGCCCTGCTTTCTTTCCCGCCCTGCTTCGCGGCGGGCCCGGGAGCAGGGAGCGGAGTTCCCAGCAGCCCCCGCGGCGTCGCTCGCGCCTGCTCCACGCCGTCGCCGCTGCTGTGGCCGCCGCCCGGCCTCCGCACCGAGACGCTGGTTGCCTGCGGTGTGAGGGAACCTGGACGTGTACCCTGCCGCGAAGATGGAGGGGCCTCTGTCTGTGTTCGGGGACCGCAGCACCGGGGAGGCGATCCGCTCCCAGAACGGTAAGGGCGGGCGAGGCCTGGGTGGGCCGACGGCGGTGCGGCTCCCCCCAGCCGGGCCAGCTCCGACCGCGGCTGACGTGCTTGCATTTTCCTTCTTTCTCTTCCCAAAAAGCCCCTCCCCCCGGGGCAGGGGCGTCTCCGACTCGCGCCGGTGTCGCCACTTCCCCTAGGGCAGAGAGGCCCGCGCGCGCCGCACGTTGGGGGAGCTGCCCCGGGTGGAGGGGGTTGGCCGTGGACGTCCCGGCCCTGGTGTGGGAAAGGCGTTCCGGCCTGGAGAGCGAGCCCGGCGCCCCAACACGTGCCGGCCACGCCGGGAGGCCCCTGCGGTCCGGGGCCCTGCGCCGCTTTTGTTCCGGTCCTAACCGGGAGGAGCGTCGGTCTCAGCCATGGCGCCTCGTCGGGACCGTTAACAGAAAAGACTAGTTCCAGCTGCTCGGTTTGCTGATGGGCGCATGGTCACAGTTAGACGACTTGCCCCTTGTACCCCCGCCGGTTCTCATGTGCAGTGGATGCGGGTGCTCCCGTGTCCCCATCCCATTCTCAGCCACCTGTCGCTGGCAGCTTCTTATAATGTAGTGAGCTGACCAGAGTTCAGTTAAATGTTCGCGTAAACGGTACTTAAAATGGGTTTATCGTAGTAAACATTTATGCGAGTTAAGGGATTTGCTGTTGAGCCTCTGGAGAGCGTTTACCCGTTGCAGTCATGGATGCTTGTCGATCTTACCGTTGTTTGATAGATTTCTAATTTTTCTCTTGGAGGCATTTGAAGTAAAGTTAGAACCTTTGGCTTCCTGCTTTTCTGATTCGCGGGTAAAGACTATGTTAATTTTAATAGGATGAAGGAAAAAACTGCCAAAATCTGAAGGAAAAAGCTGATACGTTTTTTGTTCCTTGTGTATGAAGTATCAGAACCCGAAATGATAAAAAGTAGATTACTCTTTTATTTTATGAGGCAATGAAGTGGATACTCTTTAAAACACTTGGCATCTCCTGTGCAGATAAATTCAAACCGAATTTTGCTAGTCTTCCCCCCTCCCCATATTAGACTTTTAATACCTAATTTTTTAAGTAATTAGGACAGATTTGTAGATTTGGAAAATTCAGAGGCTGTTGGATGTCATTTTTTTTCATTAGGATGAAATGATTGTTCTTTGGAGTAGTGGATTTTTCTGATTTCATTTCTTTTTTCATTTATACAGTTATGGCTGCAGCTTCTATTGCCAATATTGTAAAAAGTTCTCTTGGTCCGGTTGGATTGGATAAAATGTTGGTGGATGATATTGGTGTAAGTACACCTAGATGTTGTGTTTGGTACTTCTAAAAAAAAAAAGTTCTTACGTATTTTGCTGTGTAAATTCTTCATTTTTATCAGAATGCTGGTATTGGAAGATGTAGTAAAAATGAATGTGTATCATAATGGGGTTAATTTAGAGGATGTCTTGTTTCTCTAGATGATTGTGTTGTCCTTTTTCTTTCTTGCATGTTTCTTAGGATGTAACCATTACTAATGATGGCGCAACTATCCTGAAGTTACTGGAGGTAGAACATCCTGCAGCTAAAGTTCTTTGTGAGCTAGCTGACCTGCAAGACAAAGAAGTGGGCGATGGAACTACCTCTGTGGTAGGTAGTCACCTGGTAGATGGCTACAGGCTAGTTGTTTTCCTAGAATTGAACCTTAGGCCATAAGTAGGTCATTTGCTTCTGAGTCAGAAATAAGTTACAGACTTAAGGAGAGGATTTAACTTGTTCTTTGGTTTTTTTAATGATTGAGAAACAAAACTTGAAAACTGATGGTTATAGTTAGTTTGTACAATTTAGGTGAAAATTAAGAGATAATATACTTCTCTCATTTTAAATGTTGATTTTCACAACATTAGTTTTTTTTCCCTCAGCTATAACAATATTCATATATCACACAGAGGTTTTTTTTAGTAGTTTCTTTGAAAAAAAGTTTTGTTTCCTCCTCCCCCCTCACCACCTGGGACTTGGAAATTTCTATAACCTTCCCTTATAATTATCTAGAGAAGAAAATGTTACCACTTTTTAAAAAACAAAGATGTTTTTATGTTGTAAATGCTGTCAGGTAATCTCGTGAGTTCAAAATGCGAGTGCAAGAAAGTCAGTAAACATGTGATCAATGACATGATATAAACTCCCTAAAGATCATCCAGCACACTGATGCAGTAGAAACAGTATTATTTGGTGAAGAACAAATAATTGCTATAAAGAAGCAAGCAGTGGTTTGTGGGGAAAATGTTTGTATTTCTAAATTAAACTTTAAGTTGTGAGAGACTGGAATGTATCACTTCTAAAATAATGAAAACGGTCCTTCTGTGAGTAACTTGTTTATGATAATATGATTTTTAAAATAAAATGATTGTTATTTCCCCAAAAGAGGCAGGCAGAGTTTTTTGAAGTCTTTAAAAAATATTTTTTAGTGTGCTTAGAAGGATGATTTTTTAAAATAAACCAGGTAATAACCTAAAATAGTACAGATCATTTGAGTAGTCGGACTGTTCATTTACCTTCTGTTGAGCGCTTAATCTTGAAAGGTAATGGATGCATAGCCTTCTACTGTTGTACTGTAGAACTAGTTTATTAAGAACATTTTTCTGGCTACTATCTAGCTTTGACCATTTGCATATAAAACCCTGTAGTGTTATCTTTTTTTGAGGTTTCTAGTAACCAGTTACTCTTCACCCTCGTCACTCTGGTTAATAATACCTGAATCAGGCCGGCCCCGTGGTTTAGCGGTTAAGTGCGTGCACTCCGCTGCTGGCGGCCCGGGTTCGGATCCCGGGCGCGCACCGACGCACTGCTTCTCCGGCCATGCTGAGGCCACGTCCCACATACAGCAACTAGAAGGATGTGCAGCTATGACATACAACTATCTACTGGGGCTTTGGGGAAAAATAAATAAATAAAAATTATAAAAAAAAAAAAAATACCTGAATCATTTTAGTGTTGTTGCACACGTTGAATGTCAGGCTAATATTAGAGCACTGAATCTTTTCTCAACAGGTTATTATTGCAGCAGAACTTCTAAAAAATGCAGATGAACTAGTCAAACAGAAAATTCATCCCACATCAGTGATTAGTGGCTATCGACTTGCTTGCAAGTAAGATTGGTTGCATTCAGAGAAAATTTTATATTCTGTGATGTAATAGTTGTAAACAGATTCTGTATTCTTTAAATGTTTTGATTAATGACTGTATTTTGGAAAAGTATATTTTAGCATTTAAGTAGTGATATTTGAAGTAAGAAGTAGGGCCAGTATTCTTTTTTTCCCATTTGACTACCACATTTTCTCCTCTCAATAGATTTTAGTGGCTATGCTTATGGGATAGATTAAAATTGCCATGATCTGAAGAGGGAGGATTTATTTGTGTCCTCCTCCTATATGAAATGGCTGAACAGAAAATTGGTGCTTATGACATTTTGACACTGATTTGAAAAAAGCTTGAGTTGTGAATTTCTAAGTGTTTTCTCTCCCACACTTTAAATAGGGAAGCAGTGCGTTATATCAGTGAAAATCTAATTATTAACACAGATGAACTTGGAAGAGATTGCCTGATTAATGCTGCTAAGACATCGATGTCTTCCAAAATCATTGGAATGTATCCTTGTGATGATCCAGTAAAGTCTAGGCTATAAAGTTAAGGGAAAGGTAGTATAAAGTGTATATAAAAGCCATGAATTGCAAATAGTACCCTAGCATTTTGATGGCATAAATAATGCTAGTTTCTTTGGTGAGATTGCTAAAAGGAAGTGCCTTTGGATTAACCTTGGTTTTCATGTGCATCCATTGTTCATTCCAAGTCTTTTGTTCTCCTTAACTGTTGGCTTAGAAATGGTGATTTTTTCGCTAATATGGTAGTAGATGCTGTACTTGCTATTAAATACACAGATGTAAGAGGCCAGCCTCACTATCCAGTCAATTCCATTAATGTTCTGAAAG